CGTTGTACATAGACACCTCCAAGGTCATGTGGCCAAGATGACTGCATGGAGTGTCATTACCTTCCCGCAGAAGAGGTACCTATTGATCTACTTACATTTGCATGTTTTTGAACTGCTAGGTTGGCAGAAGCTGGGGATAACAGTGGGAGCTCACCTCACTCCCGTATATATGGATGCATACATTGTAATAATAAAATGTATGGGGACACAACATTGCTTCATGAAAACCTTTCATTTATATATATTTAAATATGCATCACCTGTAAGATAATAATATGCATTTGCAAATGCTGTCATTTCTTGTAACGTTCATGCAAGGCACTGGCACACTACAGCTGACACATCAATGTGTCATGGGACACACATTGGAAAGCTCTGCCTTAAAGACAACCAATTTTTCAATATTTTGCTTTTGCTGCCACAGATAAAACAGGGCTAATCCTCTGGAAATTGGTAGGAAATGCTGGTGATGAGGGCAGGAGGAGGAAGGTGGCATATGTGAGAGAAACTACACATTGAACCGAGGATGGACATCTGCACATGCTCCAAAGATACAGCGAGGAGAAAAGGAGAAGGAATATAAAGCAGGAAAGCCAAGTGGAATTCCCTTAAAGGAAACTGGGGGCTCCAAAAGGAAATCTTAGGGAGAAGAAAACTAACGGTGAAACGGGAGACTTAACATCCTGTCTGTGAAAAACAATTGCAGCAATGGCAGGCATACAAACACATCAAGAGGGCTCGATACATGCAGGTAACATAGAGGGATGCTAAATGCAGCTACCACGCTGCAAAAGGGTGTGTTCAGGACAAGCTGCAGCAACCAGCAAGGTGATGTCAGCTCCCTTCTTTGCCCTAGATGTGGGGCTTGGCGGTGCCATTCACCCCTCATGCAGATACCAAAATCCAAGGACACTCAACTCCCATTGTACAGAACATAATGGCATAGAAATATGACATCCCCGATATAAAATGGCAACATTAAGCATTTCCTTTTTGGAATTATTATTCTTTAAGGGAAGGAGGTCAATCTAAAAGCATGGCTGGAAACCACAGATACCGAAAGTTCCCAATTGAGATCTCTTGTGTTCCCATACAAGCAAAACAGTTAGAGATTACAAAAGAAGAAAGCAGGGTCAGAGTGTGATGTGGCAACTTCTAGATCTCCCCTAGCAGGCCACCCAGGTTTTTTTATCATGCCAGAAGCAACTTGAGAAACTGCAAGTCGCTTCTGGCGTGAGAGAATTGGCCATCTGCAAGGACATTGCTCAGGGGATGCCCGGATGTGTGGGAGGCTTCTCTTGTGTCCCCACATGGGGAGCTGGAGCTGACTGATGAAGCTCACCCCTCACAGATTTAAACCGGCAACCTTCAGGTCGGCATTCCTGCCGGCACAAGGGTTTAACCCGCTGTACTACCGCGGATCTTAGTAGGCCACTCAGGTTAAGGGTAAAGAGTTCCCTACTGCTCTTATACAGATCTCTTTGTGGATGGGACTCTGATTAGAGGCTGGATGGCTATCTTTTGGGAATACCTTAGTACAGTGGTTCTCAACCTGTGGGTCCCCAGGTGTTTTAGCCTACAACTCCCAGAAATCCCAGCCAGTTTACCAACTGTTAGGAGTTCTGGGAGTTGAAGGCCAAAACATCTGGGGACCCACAGGTTGAGAACCACTGCCTTAGTAGTATAGTCCTGCATGGCCAGGGGATTCAACTCACTGGTCCTTGGAAGTCTCTTCCACCTCTATGATGATAACATTGACTTATTCTAATCCTCACCATAGTCCTGTACAGCACATCAGAATTATCCTTATTTTGAAAGTGGGTAGCCTCAGGCGAAAGCTTTGCCTCCTTACTATCCAGGACAAGAGACAAGCAACAGCATGGGAAACTCACACAAAAACAAAGCTTATCCACAGATACCAGTATTTTATTCCTTTTCTCACAGGTGAAACTCAATAAAGTTTCCTCCAGGGCCCTTCCGCACAGCCCTATATCCAGAAAATAAAGGCAGAAAATCCCATAATATCTGTTTTCTCCCCACTCAGATAATGTGGGATTTTCCACCTTGATATTCTGGGATATAGGGCTGTGTGGTCAACTAAGGAAGCTGACAAAGCCATTATATATCCTGGGATATGCTGTCAAGGTTTGCAGGATGGAGCAATCACTTCTTAATCATGATTAAGCATGACATTATGTAGGTGAATCTGAGATCACTGATGACCACGAAGCTGGACAGATTGTTGCTAATCTCACAGGGAGACTCAGTGCCCTTCCACACAGCCCTATATTCCAGAATATCAAGACAGAAAATCCCACAATATCTGCTTTGCCATGGGTTATCTGAGTCCACACTCAGATAATGTGGGATTTCCTGCCTTGATATTGGGCTGTGTGGAAACTGTGGTGTGATCAGCCCCAAAGGTGGTGAGTTTCACGTAAAAATAGAGGTAGGATTTGATATGACAGTCATCCCTCCACATTTCTGGTTTTGATTTTGTTGCTGATTTCATTAATCTGATTAAAACCTTATCTCCAGTTCTGCTAGTGATTCTAGCAGCAGGCATGGGCAAACTTGGGCCCTCCGGGTGTTTTGGACTTCAACTCCCACAATTCCTAACAGCCTACCTCTATTTTCCCACTTTTACAGTGCCCCAAATTGCATGAATGTGGAGGGAAGACTGTACTAAATAAAAGATCCTCCAAGAGACCAGGCAGGAAAGCTTTAGGATGGATCAACACCGCCATATAATCAAAGAGCCCTTCCACACAGCCCTATATCCCAGAATATCAAGGCAGAAAATCCCTCATTATCTGATTGTGGACTCAGATAATCCAGTTCAAAGCAGATATCGTGGGATTTCCTGCCTTGATATTCTGGGATATAGCGCTGTGTGGAAAGGCCCTCGATGATCGAAGCAGAAAATCCACATTATCTCCTTTGAACCGGATTATATGAGTCTACATTGATATATAAGTTCAAAGCAGATCATCTGGATTTAATATGGCAGGGTAGATCTAGCCTAAGAAGGGAGATTTTAAAATCTAGGTTTCACTAAACATTGGGCACAAGACTCGACCTACACTTAACTATGATGGTGGAATTCACTCCTTAACTCACTCCTCCCAATATTGTCTAACTCCAAATTACTTGTCAATTTATGGTGACCCCATGAATTTTCATAGGGTTTTCTTAGGTAAGGAATACCCAGAGGTGAGTTGCTGTGAGTTTCCTGGGCTGTATGACTGTGTTCCAGAAGCATTCTCTCCTGACATTTCACCCACATCTATGGCAGGCATCCTCAGAGGTTGTGAGGTCTCAGAGGTGAGTTCTTTCCCCTGAAATATAATCTGCAGCACCTAGAACTCATCGGTGGCCTCCCATCCAACCAGGGCTGACTTTAGCTTCTAAGATCAAAGAGGATCTTGTGCATTGAGGGTATTTAAGTCCATGGCAGCCCCCAGAAAATACCATGCAGCATTATGTGGGATTCCCCCAAAACCTACAGTCATTTTTGGCCACATGGTAGGAAAACCAACACATCCTGAGTGGGTGGGCAAACCAGCTCTGAGTATTCCTTGCCTGTGAATATGCTGAAATTCTAGGGTTGCCATAAGTCGGCAGGTGGCTTGAAGATGGCAGGGGCAGAGGAGGGGCCTGCTGCATGCACACCATTAAGGGCCTCATCATGCTTCAGCATCACTTCAATCCATTTCAAATGCTGTGACTGTCTCCTGCAGAATTCTGGGGTTTGTAGTTTAGGGAGGGGGCCTTTAATCTGCTCATTCAGAGAAGCCTTAGGCCTCCCTAAACTACAAACCCCAGAATTCTGCAGGAGGCAGTCACAGAATTGGAGACCAATGGGGCAATGGGTTAAACCCTTGTGCCGGCAGGACTGAAGACCAACAGGTCGCAGGTTCAAATCTGGGGAGAGCATGGATCAGCTCCCTCTGTCAGCTCCAGCTCCCCATGTGGGGTCATGAGATAAGCCTCCCACAAGCATCAAAACGTACGGGCATCCCCGGGCAACGTCCTTGCAGACAGCCAACTCTCTCACACCAGAAGCGCCTTGCAGTTTCTCAAGTGCGATGAGGCCCTTAAATATAGTATCTACTGGGATTTGGTTCTAGGAATCCTCATGGATACCAAATCTGTGGATGCGCAAGTCCCATTATGTACAATGGCATGATATAATGACATATAATGGGTTTGCGGTGGCGCAATGGGTTAAACCCTTGTGCCAAGTTTAAACTGCTGACCTGAAAGTCAGTGGTTCAAATCTGCGAGACGGGATGAGCTCCCGTGTGTCAGCTCCAGCTCCCCATGTGAAGTCATGAGATAAGCCTCCCACAAGGATGGTAAAACATCAAAATGTACGGGCATCCCCGGGCAACGTCCTTGCAGACAGCCAACCCTCTCACAACAGAAGCAACTTGCAGTTTCTCAAGTGCACCGAAGCCCTTATATGTGGTTCCAAGACATGCACAGACTGTCCTGGATCCCCAAAGGCCTCATTTCCCATTTTGCAGAGTTAGGAGAGCGATGTGCAAAACCAGAAGAGGCCTTACTACAGATGAACACAGCCAGAGGGCTTGAATTCCTGCAGGAGGAGGCGGTTGACACCCCTTTGGGTGCCTTGGGATCCTGGGAGTTGTAGTTTGGTGAAGCACTAACCCTCCTGTTCAGACCTTGTCAACCTAGAACTCCCAGGATGTTATAACATTGAGCTATAGGACTTCAAAGTGGTGTCAAATTGCATTAGTACTACTAGAGCAGGCATGGGCAAACTTGGGCTCTCCCTTTGGGTGTTTTGGACTTCAACTCCCACAATTCCTGGCCTCAGGCCCCTTCCTTTTGCTCCTCAGCCGCTTAAGCTGAGGGGCAAAAGAAAAGGGCCTGAGGCCAGGAATTGTGGGAGTTGAAGTCCAAAACACCCGGAGGGAGGGCCCAAGTTTGCCCCTGCCTGTAAACTGCGAGTCCCCCAATGACTGTCCCCTTACCCAGGCGGGCAGCTGGCTCTGGCTCTGCCCCAGGCTCCGTCCCAAGGCGGTGGCGCTGACAGCCGCCTCCTCGTCGCCCAGGACCAGCCCGGCGGCGCGCAGGGACTGCTCCTTGCTCCTCCGCCGCCCGCGCCACCCCAGGTAGAGGGCCACGCCGGCCACCACGAAGCCCACGCTCAGCCCGGCCCGCCCGGCCAGGTACACGGGCAGGAGCCACAGCAGGCGCCGCCCCATCGCCCCCAGCGCCGCCATCGCCTCCGCCGATCCCAGCCCACCCGGCAAGCGCCGAGACCCGCCCGACGGAGGCATCGGGGCCGGATCCGGCAGCAGGGGGGCCGCTTCTTCCTCGGCGGAAGCCTTCTCCGGTCCCCGCTCCATCGCGGCGCGGCTCTGCGGCGCGGCTCCCGCGGTGGCTGCAGGCGGAGAAGCCGGAGGCGGGGCGGAACAGGGCCCCCGGCCGCGGATTGGAGGAGGAGGAGGTTCTATGGGCGGGGCTAGGCCCTTCTCCTTGGCATTGGTGGGCAACCAAAGGAAAGGGGTTCCAGCGCGCCCAAGCCACGCCCCTCCCGTTCTGATTGGGTGGCTGGCCTTCTGTGTTGAAACAACTCCCCCCCTCCAGTAACGGACCGAAGGAAGGCCTCGCTATGTTTCGCTCCCATTGGTTCTTAACGTGGGAGCCAGACCCCTGTGGGCCAATCATTAACCTCCGTTTGTTTTCATTGGTCAGCCGCTTCCGAAAAGAACCCCCGGTGGCGCAATGGGTGAAACCCTTGTGCCAGCAAGGCTGAAGACCAACAGGTCGCAGGTTCGAATTCGAGGAGAGCGCGGGTGAGCTCCCTCTGTCAGCTCCAGCTTCCCATGCGGGGACATGAGAGAAGCCTCCCACAAGGATGGTTTTTTACTTAAACATCAAACCACCCGGCCGTCTCGTGGGGAATGCCCTTGCAGACGGCCAGTTCTCTCACACCAGAAGCGACTTGCAGTTTCTCAAGTCACTCCTGAAACATACACAAAAAGAAGCCGTTTCCGAGAGTGAAGGGTGTTTTTTTTTTTTTTGTATTGTCGAAGGCTTTCATGGCCAGAATCACTGGGTTGTTGTGTGTTTTCCGGGCTGTCTGGCCAGTTTCCAGAAGCATTCTCTCCTGATGTTTCTCCCACATCTATGGCAGGCATCCTCAGAGGTTGTGGGGTCTGTTGGAAACTAGAAAAATTGGGTTTATATTTCTGGAATTATTATTTTTTCAGGACAAAATCCAGTCATAGCAAAAATAAATTATTATTTGGTGTGGTGTCTCACTTTTCAGAGAGTCATCACATTAGGATCTGCAAAAGAAAGTATATTATTGGGTTGCTGTGTGTTTTCCGGGCTGTATGGCTATATTCCAGAAGCATTCTGTCCTGACGTTTTGCAGGCATCCTCAGAGGTTGTGAGGTCTGTTGTAAAACGAAGCAAGTGAGGTTTATATATCTGTGGAATGATGTCCAGAGTGGGAGAAATAACTCTTGTCTGCTTGTGCATGCTTGAGTGTTGCAACTGGCCACCTTGATTAGCATTGAATGGCCTTGCAGGTTCAAGATCTGGCTATCTTAATGTTACTACTTTGATGGTATAATGTCCATCTCCTGCATGTTTACCAGATAAGGAACAGTCAAATAATAATTGCAAGTAACAGTTTAGCCTTTGTCTGACCAACAGAGCTGGCCTTATCTATTTGCAACTCTTCTCCCTCTTTCCCATTACCCCCACAGTCACATCAACCACTCTTATCATTTCCTTCTTGCCGCTTACTCACGCACAGCCCACTTCACTGCCGCTCAGTCCCCAAGGCGTTGGCATCTCACTTTCTTAGTGCTTTGTAAATGCTAGACAGATATTTCAAGTGCTTCTTCTGCCTTGCTTTTGGTTGCATCCGCACTGTAGACATAATGCAGTTTGGTACCACTTTAACTACCATGGCACAATATCTTCTGAAGGGTTCCATGACTGAAAAAAGTTTGGGACATGCTGCCCTAGATAATGTCTAGAGAGGACCTATTTTATCGGAGAAGGAGAAATGAAACCATGGATACCGGTCCTAATGATACAGGGGTTGTACTGTATTCACAATAATAAAATAGCTTAAAGCAGGGGCCCACAAACTTTTTAAACAGGGCCAGGCCACAGTCCCTCAAACTGTTGGAGAGCTGGATTATAATTTGAAAAGAACATGAATGAATTCCTATGAACACTGCATATATCTTATTTGTATTGCAAAAACACTTAATACAATCATTAAAATGAAGAACAATTTCAACAAATATAAAATTATTAATATTTCAATGGGAAGTGTGGGCCTGCTTTTGGCTGATGAGATAGGATTGTTGTATGCTTTCAAGTCATTTCAGACTTAGGTTGACTCTGAGCAAGGGCTGGGTAAATGACCTTGAAGGGCCACATCCGGTCCCCAGGCCTTAGTTTGAGGACCCCTGGCTTAAAGCATACACCATGTCATTTAGGTGGCCCTCTAGATGGTGGACTCCAACTCCTGTATTTCTTGTCATTAGACATCATGACTACAGCTGATGTGAATACAGTACAATCCCTGTATCAGCCACGGTCAGTGGTTCCCTTGATGTATGGTAAGAACATACCTCTTTTCCTCTGGGTGGATCTACTAGTACTAAAAAAACCCTCTAAAATCAGAACATTAAATAAAGAGGAACACTAAAAAAATAGGGGAATTCCTGACATGAAACCATCACAGCCAGGTAACAAAGGATTCCCCCAGGCAGGAAGCAGCCAGGCTTTGAAGCTGCAAGGCAATTCATTGATAACCAAGCTGGCCAACTGCAACATTCACACTTGCCTCAAGCAGACAAGAGTTCTTTCTCCCACCCTGGACATTATTCCACAGATATATAAACCTCAATTGCCTAGTTTCCAACAGACCTCACAACCTCTGAGGATGTCTGTCAAAGATGTGGGCAAAACATCAGGAGAGAATGCTTCTAGAACTTGACCATACAGCCCAGAAAACTCACAGCATCCCAGTCTATTTCTTCTTATGCAGTTGCATTCAATGTAATGGGTTTAGGATATGGCTAGTTTTTTCTCCCCAGGCAACTCATATGTGCAAGTTTTCATGTAGCCCTTAACGGTAGGAAGATGGTTTCCTGTTCTCTGCTTAAATTAGTTGATTAGATTTCTCCTCAGATTATCTTGTTAGAAGCATGCCTGTTTACTGTCAGTGACCAGGCCCTGCATGATAATCAAGTGAACATTCAAAAACATAACTAACAATCGAGACCATCTCATCTTAACTCTTTTACTCCTCTGCTACATACACACATCTCCAAAATGTTTTCCATAAAAAAGAATATATTGATATAAAATTAAGTTTTAAGTAATCTTAGTTTGCTATCAAAAATAGAGGTTGAATATCATTTATCTAATATGCTAAGAACCGGAAAATATTATGAATAATGGAATTTCCACCCCTAGATTTTAGAAACACCTGTATTTTGCATATATGTTCATAGTGAGATATCTCAGACATGGGTTCCAAGTTTAAGCATTAATTTATGTTTTACACGCACTGTATAGACTGAAAATAATTTTATACAATATTTTAAACAACATCTTGTGTACACTGAACCATCAGAAAGCAATGGTGTCACAATCTCAGCAACCCAAGTGGACAATTTTGGAATTTGGAGAATTTTGGAATTCCTGACAAGTGGTGCTCAATCTATAAACATCAAATCTGGGTGCATTCTGTTAAATAATTCTGGTCTATGAAGACTATATTATTAATATATTTATCATTGCTTTCTCAGCCTTTATAATAGGGGTGGGAATCTCTCAGTATAAACACCACTGGTTTTACTGGCAAGGGTTCATGGAAGTTCAGCATCAGGCTTCTTGCAGTCAGTCTCTCATTCAGCATAACATAAACACACAATACAATAAAAGATAATACCAATATCACCACTGGATAGTTGTTAATAATGAATGCAAATCATTCTGAACGTTTCAAAATAATGATTAACCCCCTAAACAAAAACATGTACTTTCATTTTCCCCTAAAGGTACAGGAGGAGACACAAGTGGAATTATAGTGCTATGGTTCATGGCATGAAACGGATCCAGCTGTTTCTTCCACAAAAGCTTGAACTGAGCTGCCGAATATATGAGCTACTATTTAGATAAAAACAGATATAATGTACTTACCTTTTTCCTCTTCCCTTCCCATATCATTTTCCTTTTGTGCCACGCCATTCAGATTGTAAGTGTATTGATACCTTGATTTTATTGATAATATATATACTATTCCAAGATTAATGCCATAGCACTGCACTTCCGTCCCATGCCGTAAAGCAGTGTTTCTCAACCTTCCTAATGCCGCAACCTCTTAATACAGTTCCTGATGTTGTGGTGACCCCTAACCATAAAATTATTATTCATAGCTGTAGTTTTGCTACTGTTATGAATCGTAATGTAAATATCTGATAGGTAGGATGTATTTTCATTCACTGGAACAAATTTGGCACAAATACTTGATATGCCCAAATCTGAATACTGGTAGGGTTGAAGTGGGGGAATTGATTTTGTCATCTGGGAGTTGTAGTTGCTGGGATTTATAGTTAACCTGCAATCAAAAGGCATTCTGAACTCCACCAACGATGGAATTGAACCAAGCTTGGCACACAGAACTCCCACGACCAAAAGAAAATACTGGAAGGGTTGGATTGACATTGACCTTGAGTTTTGGAGTTGTAGTTCACCTACATCCAGAGAGCACTGTGGACTCAAACAACATATGTAGATTCTCACCATAGGTTATTAGGCACTGTTTTGAGCTTAAATTGTTTTATATGCTATTGGTATTATCTTGTATTGTATTGTGTGTTTATGTTATGCATTGCTTTAGGCACATTGTGCCATATGTAAGCCACCCTGAGTCCCTTTGGGGAGATGGAGGCAGGGTACAAAAATAAAGTTGTTGTTGTTGTTGTTGTTGTTATAGCCTTTTTGACTGATAAACAAGCTACTGACTCTTGGGATTTCTGACACACAAAGTCATGAGGACAAGACATTTCCTTTTAAAATATATATTTCAAAGAGAGAAGAGCCAAAATTCTCAGGAGCCAAGCCATATGTCAATTCTGAATTGTGTGTTCGCCTGGAAACATATACAACTTTCCCAATATCATTAGCAGGAAAGGAAATGATACCCAAGCTTTCCAATTCATACTAACCATGTGTGTATTTCTATAGAAGGTCTGTTCTTCTTTTTGTAAAACAAACATATAAAAAAATGATTATATTCCTCACCTCTTTGTTATCAGTCTCCCCGTTGAAAGAAAAAAAAAATACATCAGGCTAAAATGGAAATAGCCTGGCTGGGCTTTTTACATTATTAAAAACTCAGTCATCATGG